TTTTTTTTTTTTTTTTTTTTTTTTGTTGTGTGTGTGTGTGTGTGTGTGTGTGTGTGTGTGTGTGTGTGTATGTCTGTGGTCATGTTCGCTGCATACAACTCCAACAAAAAAAAGCATGACCACTACAATTAGTTGTATGCCCTCCCCGAATACAACGCAGCTTCATGGGGACCGTAGAGAACCAGAAAAAAATTGCTTGTATACAGTCAGGATGAGGCTGCGTTGTGTTCGGGGGAAGAGGGGATGATTGTCAGCTTGGATATATCTTTTAAAGATTGAAAGGAAAAAAAGAAAGAGCATGTGTGCAAAACCGTTTCGTCGGACTTTCCCTCACCGACTCATGAGGAGGTTGAACCCCGATGGGCAGTCTGGCCAGCATGCACTTGGCTGATGGATAAGGAAGGGCTCACCACGTCGCCCAGAGTTAGCGATGCTCACTCTTGAGATTGAGAGAGAAAAGCGGTCGACTTTACTGACACCAACCTTGCAATCCTAGCAGACTGTCTGTGGGTCCAAACCCCTGACAAGAATGGCAGTAAGTCTGAGAAACTAATCTGACACTGACAGTTATAAAACCCACTCTACACACCCACTCAGCCATGGACACCCACTGGCATGAGCGCTTGTACGGTCCCGACCATAGCCGCTTCGATCGGCCTGAACGGAGAGCTTAGCAGGGCCGTGTTGTGTGTTGTCATGTTCGTTATACACAACTCCACAGAAAAAGCACGATTGTGCCACAGACTGTTACGTTGGGCGTTCACAGACTCATCAGTAGGTGTGCCTCTGTGTGTGTGTGTGTGTGTGTGTGTGTGTGTGTGTGTGTGTGTGTGTACACAACTCGACAGAAAAAGCATGACTGTGCCAGACTGTTACGTCGGACGTTCACTGACTCATCAGTAGGTGTGTGGGTGTGGGTGTGGGTGTGGGGGTGTGGGTGTGGGGGTGTGGGTGTGGGTGTGGGTGTGGGTGGGTGGGTGTGAATGTGTGTGTGTACACAACTCCAAAGAAAAAGCATGACTGTGCCAGACCGTGTCGTCTGACTCAGCCTTCGCTGCCTGCGATGGTAGGGGCTTTGCGCTCAACCTTTGCTGCCTCCGGCGCTAGGCCTACAACAACAACCCGATGGCCAAGGCAAATGACAGTGTCTTTCCCAAACTCAAATTTCTCTGTATAGATCCCCTCCTTGCGCAAGACGTGCTAATAATGTTCTTGCTAATGATGTTCATGTTCCTCCATGGATTTCCTGAAAATCAGTATCTCATCGAGGTACATAAGGACAAGCTTGGTAAAGTGTCGTCTTAAGACTCCATCCACCCAGATTTTGGAAGATGATTGAATTGATTGGCACTTAGGGAGGCCAAAAAGGGCATAACGATGAATTTCTAGTCCACTCAGATTTGGAAGATGGTCGGTACAGAAGTGAGGCCAGAGGGCATGACGGTGAATTTTTTCTACAACCTGTTGCATGCGGAGAAGGTAGGGTCTCGCTCCACTTCTGTCCGCAGAGTAGAGTTAACACCATAGATTCAAAAGCATTCAAAGTTTCTTGTTTGAAATAATAGAAACACATCAAAATGGTGCTGGCAGTACCAAACAATAGAAAGATTTGACAAAAATAGGTCAAATTATCTATGATTAGATTATTATAAAACAAATTAGCAGTGGTTAAAGGATTATTGATCAGCAATAGAATTGTCATCAAACGCTGCATTTTTTCTACAACCTGTTGCACGTGGAGAACATAGGGTCTCGCTATAGGTTGTTGCCCAGGGACCAGAGTAGAGGACCTACACCATTTCTGTCCTCCATTTCTGTTTGCATTGTGATCTGTCGCAACAATTTTGGCAATGGTGGAGAACTGCTGCTTCGATTCCCTTCCGAGCTGAGCACTGGACGGATGATTTTATCCTTCGTGGTTCCGCGGCTCCTGGAATCCGGCCTTCATCCCCTCTGCGTCGCGCTGAGGAAATACTTAGGGGGGGCGATATTGTGGACGTTGTGGACTCTTCGCAATTCAGCCGTCAGACGTGCTGAACGACTTACTCCGCTTAAGGTGAGAGCTGAAGTCAAATTTGGGATTAAGCAAGCTATTCTTACAGATTGGACGTTGAAGGCTCACCGCAAAGGCTTTTCGGCTAAATCTCTTAGGCGCTTCTCTGCGTGCTGGGCCTCTTTCTCCAGATTGGTCACCATTTGCCAGCCCTCTGGCTGTCGACCGGAACTCAGATTTTCTTCATTCTTTCTTTGACTGGGATGTGTTTGTTGCTGGGGTTGTTGTTGCACTGTTATTACAAGTCTTTTAGGTCTTGGTTCTTTGGTTCGTGTTTCTGTACATAACTGTGTTTGGTCATGACATTGTACATATGTTGTGTCTTGTATATTTGACACAGAGAATTGTGTGGAGTCTCCATTTTAGAGGGTGGGTCGCTTGGGGACCCCATGGATTGGGGTTTTTGTGAGCCAGGCTCCGAGGTGACTTTAGGTTGACGTCGGTAATCATACATATGTGGTAGATCGTGTCGCCTGTCTGGATCACATTCCGAACTCTGCTTTTATGTGAGGGACGCCGGACCCGTTTTCCGGCTCGGGTAATACACTCATAGCCCCGGTGTGTACTGGGCCTGAGTGCCCAGAACATACGGAAGGTTTTGGGGAAAAAAATAAAATTAAAAAAATCACAGAAAAGCAAAATGAGTGGCCAGATAGAGGATTAGGAGGCCTGGATCTGGCCGCTGATTTTGCGATTGTGCAATTTTGAGTGCCTAACGTAGCGTGAGAGCATGCTCACACTGTGTACCCAATTATTTCTTTAAAAAATGGGATGCCCAATTTAGGGGGGGAAAATAGTGGCTGGACCGGTCACACTGCTTCCCCATTTTGCAACAGACAAGGGTGCGACCCCCTGGATTTTGGGTCCTCTTCGACTGCTCCAGTCACGCTGCGAGATCGCATTTCCTGGCAATATCTTCATCTTCAAAATTCCAAACAAGAAAGGGAATTTGCGGTAACCTCTCGAGGTTACCAAATATTTCCAACCCCGCAGCCCCTCAGGCCACTGACGAATGGGGTCACGAATAAGTAGTTTGGGGAAATGAGATCCTGGTGTGACTATTCCTCTACACTATTTTCTTTGGGATTTGGGGGATTATGCGGATTTGGTACCCCAGTGTGAGCCTGCCCTGAGGGCATACTCACACTGGGACCTATAATCCCCAATTCCCCCCCCAAAAGGGTAGAGGCCCGGTCACACAGATTTGCCAAAGTCCTAAAAGTACTATTCGGGTGCCCATTTCGCAGCGGCTTGGGTAGTACTTTCCAAGCCGCTGAGAAATGGGCACCTGAATAGTGTTATTCAAGGGCGGTGGCCTCGGTGGCAGTTGGGGCTGGTAAGCAGCCGCATCTCTGAAAAATAGCAGGGAAAGGTAGTGAGTGGTGTCTTGAAAGTCACGGACGTTGCGGACCTAACACCGGCCACCGATGTAATTTATCAAGGGCGGTGGCTGGGCCCCAAAAGTTGGGCACCGTTAACCAGCCGCATCTCTGAAAAATAGCCGGTAAAGATACTGGTGGCATAAAAGTCACGGACGTCGTGGACCTGACCCTCAGATCAGAATCTTCTACGACAAATCTGGGCTCCATAGTGGACCCTCAGAATCTTCTATGATGAATCTGGGCTCCTTCCAGTATGCTCTGTGTGTGTGTGTGTGTGTGTGTCTGCACGCAGCCAACCCAACTCAATCATGACATGGAAAGGGCACTCGTTCATGATGCAAAAAATTCAGTGAGTGAGGGACATGTTCACCTTTGTCAAATCACTTTTGTCTGTTTTTGCAAAGATTTATTTATTTATTATTATTATTATTTTTTAACAAAGCTCCAATCTATTTGTGGGGAGAAGCACGTGCTGCTCCCCCATCAAACCGGGCCCAGCGTTCCATATGAATGATTTACAGATAACAAAGTCATAGACAAAATTCAGGAAACAACTCAGAAACCCCCATCAATCCCTTTGACCGCACTCTGACAATACTTACTGCAGCAGAGCCACCATCTCCGCTGCTGCTATACCTTATTTCCATCACGCAAGCTAGCCCCCTCCCTTTGATTACCCTGATTTCCAGGGGATTGACTGAACAGGTGAACTTTTCTTGTACACAGTAGACATCCTGCCAGCATTGATTACCCTGATTTCCAGGGGATTGACTGATCAGGTGGTGTCGAGCTCGGGAGCAGCTTGATAAATTGAGAGCATTTGACCAGCCTCACCCGGGGGGCACCAGGGAGGCTTGCCGCCTGCTTGTCTTGATTTGCAGCCTGGTTAAACAACTACTTCAGCCAGAGAAAGGGGGTGGGGAGGGAACAGGTCCGGGAAATCAGATGGGGGTCTGATTGGGAAGGCCGGGTCAAAGTGGGTCCAATCATTGAAAAGAAGTCTGTAATCTCTTGGAATTCCTTGATTCGACGCCGCGACCTGATCCCCTGACCACTCGATTCGGGCCATCCATTCCCCCCGTTGCCCACCCAGCCACTCCATGCAGAACTCCGTAATCGCCCTCTTAATGTCTCGGTCTGTCTGAAAAATATCTAACTGTGGTTTAAGATCACCCCATCTACGCATCAGCTCCATCTGCACTAGCTCCTTTATCCGCCCTGTCAATTCAGGGCCCTCAATCTTTACCCCCTCCAAAACCAGAAGGCAGTGCTGCCACCACAGCTCCCATAGGACAGAGTCTACCCAGGCCATACAGGTTACTCACAAAGGCAGGGGCCCTCTCCATTGCCGGGCAGTGTCCTGCCAGTATGGCTTGCCAAGGCCATGGCCAGGGGGTATCTGGTATCGTTTTTCTCCAGATGCGGTCCCACCACCGCCATGTCAACAAAGGCACTGGGCACTGCATGAAAATGTGTTCAATAGTTTCATGCCTTTTTTGTGCTGGGAAGGCGGCTAGGCATCGGTGGCACCATGGGAGTGCTATCCCTTTTTGTTCCAGATGAGTGTGGTCAATCAGCCAGGCATTTGTCGGCAAACAGCGATGGGCAATCTGCCATTGCAAAGATGCAACTTTTGCCGGCCTGACTTTACTTTCATTAAACCATTTAATGGGTGTGAGGAGGGTGTGATCCACGTTCAGGTGTTTAGCCCATCTATCGTTATGAAGTCCCTTAAAACTCTTTTGGGTCTAAGCATCCTATACATAGATTTGACCGATAGTGTGTTTAGGACCTTAGGTGGGAAAAAAAAAAAAAAAAAAAAAAGGTGGACTTTTTTACCGGTCGCCGTTGTTGCCCTCCAGGCCATCTGCCATTGCCACTCGTTGGGGTCAATAGCCAGCTCGCTTATCGGTGTGTGGGGGAGGAAGACCATGGAATCCTGTCCTTCCCCCAACACTCGCTCGGAAGACCTCTTCTTTCTCCCGCCACTCAAAGGAATTCCGAGAGCCATGAAGCCTCCCCCTTGGCCCGATTGTGTAGTATTCCACTAAAACATCCGATCTCCATACCATGTGGATCTGGCCTATCCGTGTCGTGTCCCCCGAGAGGGCCACCCAGTCCCCTTCCTCTAGGGTGGGGCCATGTTTGAGAATCCTGTACCAGGCCAGTCGGATTGCTTCGATAATCATTTCCAGATGTCTCTCCGTGTGATGACAGTACCGGAGGGTACCTTGCAGTTGGGTCGCTGTTTTCCAATCCTGCTTCCCTTGGTCCCATAGATGCCCGATGCGCAGTATCCCATTCTTCACCCATCCCTTCCATGGAGGTGTTGAGCTATTCATGATCTGCCCATGACGGGGTGTAACTCCCATCGCTCCGGTGCCTGTTTCTTGGGGAGGGGGAGCCTGCGCCAACTTTTCAATAAGGTTGGCCAGAATTGGTCTGCAGCTTGGCCGTGGATCTTCTGCGGGATTGACCAGTAGCGATCCTCTATCCATGTGAGTGGGCTAGCCTCTGGTGGAGCTGGTGGAGCCAAACGAACGATGTGCTCCAGGGCCAGAGCCCGCCAAGGGCTGTCCAAAGAGAAAATCAGCGTCTTTAGCCATTTAAGGCGGAGGGCCTGGGCTTGTGTCGTGGCATCGATAATACCCAGGCCCCCTGCCCATTTAGCACAAAAAAAAAAGAAAAGAAAAAAAAAGGAAACGAAAAAAAGCACTCCTCCTCCCGAAGTTACGGAGCCATTTTGCTGACATTCTTTCAACATGGTTGAGTGTAGGAACTCCTTTGAGAACTTGTGTGCATTTTTCTCGAACGCATTACGCTGTGTGTTCATCTCCATGTTTCTACCGAGACGCTTGGCAGAGCACTCACCATCCAGTTCAGCCCAGGGGTTGGGGCATCCCAGGTCTACGTCCTCTTCGGACAAGTCGCCCTCCTCCGACTCAACCGTGTCGAACCCCATGAAACACTCACTATCGTAAGGTGCGCTTCTGCCAAGTCTTACGCTTTCGCAAGCCTCCACCCCTCGAAAGTCTTCTGGTGGCAAGCTGGAAAACATAGTGAAGTCCTTCGGCACATCCATTAAATTTGGAACGATACAGAGAAGATTACCATGGGCCCTGCGCAATGGTGACCCACATATATAGAGAAAGGGTCCATTTTATTTTTATTTTTATTTAAGAAAAAAAAGAAAAAAGAAAACAGTGTGAAGAGGGGCTACACTCTGCACAGCTTGTGACTTCTATTTCTCTGTGAAGTCTAACCCCAGAGTAGCAAACAGTCCAGGCACTTTGTCAAACAGTCCTTGGAATCTCTCCCCTCTCCCCCCCCCCCCCCCCCCCCCCCCCCCCCCCCCCCCCCCCCCCCCCCCCCCCCCCCCCCCCCCCCCCCCCCCCCCCCGCCCCGCCCCGCTCCGCTCCCCCTTTTCAAAGAATCTTTTATTATCTGCATGGGTGGCAAGCTGCTATCTGTTGGTTACAGAGCCCTTCCCTCTGAAGCTGAATTGTTTGACATTTCCAGAGGTTGATTTTTTTTCATCCCGCCCCCCCCCTCCCTCCCCCCTTGTTTCTTATAGTCAGTGCTACCGTCTTCGCATGGGTGGCAAGCTGCTATCTGTTGGTTACAGAGCCCTTCCCTCTGAAGCTAAATTGTTTGTTTTTATTTATCCCCTTCCTCCCCCTCCCCCCCCCTTCTTGTTTCTTATAGTCAGTGCTACCGTCTTCACCCGAATAGAACGCCCGGTCATTATAGCTGCATTTGGCCCAACTTTCAGTCCAGATGCAGCGATAATGACCGGGCGTTCTATTCGGGTGAAGACGATAGCTGGCCCCTAATATTCTTGTATCAGTCTGATTGCATCAGGATTTGAACTGGCAATCTGTTCAGCAGCAGTTATATGTGTTTTCCACTAAGCCAGAAGCCAGGCAGGTAGGTAGGCTCCCATATCCTTCTGATGATTGGTGGATAGGTTCTGAAAATAAATAGAGATAGGGATTTGAGCAATAGTTGTATGATTGTGCGTACCATTCAGCCGCAAGGCAGGAAGGTAACCAACCAGTGGCCCCCTTTTTTTTTTTCTTTTTTCCCTCCATCGATGCGTGTCATTTTTGTGCAGGGGCCATGCTAGTCTTCTCTGTATCGTTCCAATTTGAACGGATGTCGGGAAGGACACCTTTTTTTTTTTTTTTAAATTTGCCATTTGGACCATTTCTTGGTTAATGCATGTCATCCTTGCGCAGGGGCCATGCTAATCTTCTCTTTCTCTGTATCGTTCCAATTTCAAACCCTTCTTTTTTTTTTTCCATCCTTGTGCAGGGGCCATGCTAATCTTCTCTTTCTCTGTATCGTTCCAATGATCCAATCTCAACCCTTCTTTTTTTTTTTTTTCATCCTTGCGCAGGGGGCATGCTGAACTTCTTTCTCTGTACCTTCCCAATTTTAGCAGATGTCCCGAAGAACCCTTTTTTTTAATTTTAATTTGGAACATTTCTCAATTTATCCATGTCATCCTTGTGCAGGGGCCATGCCTGCGTCGTCCCAATTTGAAAGGATGTTCCGAAGGGGAAGAACCAATGGCCCATTCGACCTGAAGGGGCGGAAAAATTGTGCTTGGGGGAACTCTCTCTGTGATGCTATACTGGCCAGAGTGGGTGGGTGGCCACCCTGTCCAGGAGCAGCAAGCTGGCTGGGTTAGGCCAGGGGGGGACTCCCAGCAAGAAGGCCACCAAGCGCTGGGCTATATCTTAAAAGAGGGATAAAGTAAAAAAGGCTGTGGGGGCACTGGTGGGCCTGACTTTCTTTTTCCCTTTTGGGAAGTTTTGGCCCCATATTCTAGCTGTTGATCGATCGAGTTTAGCGGCCAGGGACCTGTTTGCTCACGCGGAGGTGCGTAAAAGTCTTGTTTCATTGACATCCTGCTCTGACCGGGTGAGGTGCCCAGTATCTTTTGGCGCAAATTCGGGCTGCATGAATGAACAGGGGGGCTTCCGATCCCGAGTGTTCCATCCACCGCTGCATGCTTTTCGGTTATTTGCGCTTTGCCCACCATCAATTGAGTCCCATTGTTTCCCTATCTTTTTTTTTTTTTTTAAGGAAACAATTCATTGTATACAAAACATTCGAAGGATCGAGGCCGGGGACCTCACAATTCAACCCGGAGTTATCCTGTCAGCATCAGCCAATTTAGCTTACGCCCCCGGCCGAACCGAAGACCAATTCTCAGAGAATCCATCTCATGAAACCCTAAACCAAAACCAGACCAATGTCCTTTTACCAGTACTACTTCTCGAAAGAAACTACCCTTTTTTTTTCTTTTTTTTTTAAAAAAAAACACCTCCGCCAGTGTTAGTGCTGCTGATGTCTACTCTTTAAGATGTGATTCAACCACAGATCATTTTGTAGACGTCTAACACGACGACCAGGTCTACCTGACCTGGTGGAACCTTCTGTTCCTCTTCTCACTGACACTCTCCTACTGGACCACCGCGTCCCTAACAACCGAGTGTCCAGGTGGAAACTTTAGCACTCTCTACCCTCACCCTTACCGACCGAGATACCCTGGCCCCCTACTCTGAGAGCCTCTTTCCCCCACTCTTCCTACCTATTCCTAACTCAGTACTCTACGTGCTCAGCCACTTCGAGATCACCAATCCTCTGGAGGTATGAACGCCCGCCAGTTGGTTCGCTTTTGCCCACGTTCTCAAAAACCACCAAAGTTATCTCCTTGGGCCCCTGCCACACTTGGCTTTCCTGCGCCAGTCATCCCATATCGCTGTCCTCAACCCTTTCTTAATGCTGGCCTTGGTTTCTTCATCTGCAAATGGGCGTCCTTCGAACCTGGAGCAGTTTCTGTCGACCCAAATGACCGAGCAGATAACTGCCCTGGTCACATCAGCCACATATGGCCACCCTTTCTTCCCAGAATGCTCATCCCCCTCGAAGCTGAGGAGAACCCACTTCTCATCCCAAACAATCCCCTCCCCTCCCATCCTTTCCCAATGGTCCTCCCACCACCTCCATATTCTCCTGGATGTCGGACAATCCCACCACATATGTTTAGTGGATCCGAAAGGCCAGGAGCTTCTGGAGCACTACAGGGATACCTCCATCCCTGTGCTGCACAACCAAACCGCAGATGGAGTGACCAACAGCGAGAGCATCCACAGTAGACTCGCATGTTTAAGGTCTGGTAGAATAAGAAGAACGTTCCGCAGCTTCAGAAAGTCACCCTCCTTCCCCTGAAGATCACTCATTAGGACCACCGTACTCCATCTGGCGACCGCCACCTCCGCTAGACTCCTCTTCGGGCCTTCTGCCAATCTATAAGAGTCCCTCACCATAATGTTAGCGAGGGCTAAGCCCCGAGGCCCCGACCCTGCTCCCCCTCTCCACCTCCAGGCTCTCGGGTCTATCGCCAATCCCTCAGAGGCGCTTTGCCCACCCATTCCGTGAGCACCACATTCCCTCTCCAATTGAGATGTTGAATCGCCCTCACCTGAGGAGGATTATTCCATTCCATTGCCTGATGACCTCCTGCCCTGCTGGTACCACCGTTGCCGTCTGTTCACTCACTAACCACCTTCGAACTTCCCTAAATCCGCAATGTGTCAGGGCCCACACCTCCCAGAGCTCCCCTCCTTCCCCTACAGATGGGGAGGCATACCACGTGCCTACCCGATCAACCCCCTCGGGGCCCAGGAGGTGTTCCCACTCGTACTCCCTTCAGCTTTTTTTTTTTTTTTTTTTTTTTTTTTAAAAGGGCGACGGCCTCGAGATATCATCATTAAGCTGACCGGCCCCAGGTAATTCACAAATAGTTCGTTTTACAACTTTTACTCATCAACTTCCATCTTCTGGATTTGAACACGGGTTTGAACACGGGTTTGAACACGGGTTTGTATTTTNTTTTTTTTTTTTTTTATTAAAAGGGCGACGGCCTCGAGATATCATCATTAAGCTGACCGGCTCCAGGTAATTCAGAAATAGTTGGTTTTACGACGTTTACTCATCAATCAAGTTCCATCATCATCTGGATTCGAACACAGGTCTGTATTTTGAACAGTTCATGGGTGTCCCTTCACCTTTTTGTTTTCCCAATCTGACCCTCTCTTCAGCTTTTTGTTTTCCCAATCTGACCCTGCCTTCATCTTTTATTTGCTGATACACTTATTGTTTGTCTCCTCTCCCCTTGGTTATGGCAGATCTGTGAGTGGATGCTGGCTCATAGTAAACAGTGGGAGATCATCCAGCAGGACTTCAACACGTTGATATCTGCATACGCTAAGCTCGGAAAATGGAAAGAAGCAGAGGCAGCATTGAAGAAAATGAACGCACGTGGGTTGTCTCCTACGGTAGGGACTTATACGGCACTAATAGATGCGTACGGTAGAAGCGGGCAGGCGACAAAGGGGGAGGACGTGCTCCGGTCTATGGAAGCGGAGGGGCTCTGGCCAACGGCAATGACGTACCAGACGTTGATTCAAGGCTATGGCCGCGTCGGAGATACGGCGAATGCTGAAAGAGTCTTTAGGGAGGCACTTGGGGATGACGAAGTGCAGGCGGATGGAGACCAGACTGACGCGAATGCCGATCGTCTGACGGACGAGGAGCTGTCAAAGCAGCAGCACAAAGAAGGTGAGAGGCCAACTGCTTGGGCGCAACATGCCAAACAGCCGGTGGACGCACAGTTTTTCAACACAATGATCGATGTTTACACGAAAACGGGAATGAAGGAAAGCGCACTTTTCTTGTTCAGAGACATGCAACGCCGGAAGGTAATGCCGGACAAAGTTACGTATGACACACTGATCAACATGTACGCTAAGGAGGGAGATCACGTCAAGGCGGAGGAGGTGTTGCGAGAGATGCAGCAGGCTGGATTTTCTCCGAACACCGTCACGATGACGGGGCTGCTGTCTGCATACGGCAAGTCAGGCCGGGTCGAAGAAGCCTCGGGGGTTTTCAACGAATTGCTGCAGCTGAAATTAAGACCGACGGTCCGCACGTGGGGGGCGCTGATCAATGCGTGCTGCCAAGCTGGGGAGTGGGAGCAGGCGGAGGAGGTCTATCGCAAGATGAAAGCGAGTGGCTGTCATCCCAATCTTGTCGTGGTCTCAACGCTCATCAAAGGGTACATGAAATGCGGGGAAATAAAGAAGGCGGAGGCGTTTGTCGAGAACGTGAAATCCATGGGGCTGGAACCGGACGCCATGCTCTGGACGACGCTGATCGGCGGGTATGCTAAGGCTGGAGACGTGAGAAAGGCTCTGTCCTCGTTGAAGTTGATGGAAGCTGCGGGATTTCCGGCGGATGCTGCGACGTACAATGTTGTTCTTGCAATGTACGGTGACTGCCAAGAATACGAGGCAGCGGCCGGAGTGTTTGAGGAGATGGTAGCAAGGGGTTTCAGACCTGAAGAGGGCGCAAAGCGATCGCTTCTCCGTGCATGCAAGGACGAGGAGCAACGACAGGATGCGATGCTCCTCCTTCAGGACCACGGCGGTGTTACGTTCCCACAGATGCCAGCCCAGGAAAAGGAGGAGTTTCTGGGTCGTATGTGGAACGAAGATCAGCCAGGTTCGTTGGGACAGGCGGACGGGGGAGAGGGGGGTGCAAGAAGTCAGAGCGAGACTGTGAGTGTAGTAGAAGCCAGTGACACATGGGTTCTGTTGGCGGAGGAGAGGGAGGAGGAGGATGGCAGCGGACTGGAAGTACTTTCCTTATGACCCTGGGCTGAAAATCGGCCGGATTCCTGTGATCTACTTTTCATTCGTCATGCTGAAAATTAGCACACGTTGGTCGTTTTTCATTCTACTTCTTTTAGTTTCTGAGAGCGCACGGTACAAACCGGCAGGTGCCACTTCGGTTCGGGAATTCAGAGCCATTCCCCATCTTTTTTTCTCTTCGTCATCCGATTGCATTTGGATTCGAAGTCGGGATTCGAAGTCGGGATTCGAAGTCGGGATTCGAAGTCGGGATTCGAAGTCGGATTCGGACTTGGGTCTCTATTTCAAGAGTTCATGGGTGTCCCAACTGAGCTATGCCTGTTGGTGCCAGCCATTCACCTTCTTGTCCTTATGTGTTTCATTTATTTTTGAGTCGGACCTCGCGATCTGAACAGGAAAAATGGACACACTGGCAAGAAGCGGTGAGGAGTCGCTGCTCCCCCTTTTCCATGTAAAACGAAAAAGGAATCGTTGTTACCTATACTAATGAGAAACATCTTCTGTCGATGCAGATTTTGGGAAATTCAAAATTGTGTAAAGCCTTTTGCAGTGTGCAACACAGTACTCTTTCCACCTTCCAGCTACTCAAGAATTCCATCTCGGGGGAAAAAAAAAAGGAAGGGACAATTGCATCTGTACCCCATTTAAAGATGGGAATACCGGTCTTTCGGGACATCCGTTAAAATTGGAATGGTACAGAGAAGATTAGCATGGCCCCTGTGCAAGGATGACATGCATAAATCGAGAAATCGTTCAAAAAAAAAAAAAAAAAAAAAAAAAAATGGGAATACCGGCTATACCCAGTCCCAGCACCCTACTCGCATCTGTACCCAGATCCTGTTCAACTTAATGTACCCACCTTCTCCCCTGTCCAACTTGTTCACATACCCGGTCCCGCAAATCCTCGGTGGACCACCACGAAATTATGCTCATTCGCAGAAACAGGGCTGGGAAAATTCTGGCAGTATCCATGCCGAGATGGCATGTTGAATTTGAAATGCACCTCCCTGCACTTTCCGGTACAGAGAAGAGAAGAGAGAGAGAGAGAGNAGGACCTGTTAAAAAAAAAAAAAAAAAAAAAAAAGAAACCGACTCAATTGGCCCGATTAAGGTCAGCATTTGTAGCTTTTGAGGGTCCAACGTTCTTAAAATCCCGGACCCCTGGATGTACCTGGTCTTCGCCGGAGTCCAGGGGGTCCAGGTTTTAAGAATGCCAGAACCCCCTAGATGTCCCTGGACTTAGATGGAGTCCAGGGGGTAGGAGCGTTTTAAGAACGTCGGACTCTCAATTTCGTCAAAATTTCGACATGAATCGGGCCAATTTTATTCGGTTTCAATTTCGTTAAAAAAAAAAAAAAACTGCCCGCGACATTGCTGTTCTTTTATGATGAATGGCATGTTGGTATGTGTGCATGGCCTTCGTTGTGACTTGTGAGTGTCAAAGTGTTGACACACGTCCAGGAGTATGTATGGGCACGAGTGGTCGTGATTTTTTTTTTTTTTTTTTTTTTTTTAATTTTTTCCCTGCCAATACCTTTTATTCTTCTTTTTCTACAAGCGATGACCGTGAGTCGGGAATCAGGGTGTCTTTTCTATGCACCACGACCTTCTTTTTCTCGTTTCTCTTTTTTTCCCTTTTCTTTTCTTTTGGATCCCCGAACCTGTGCCAAACCTCCAGGGGCATCTCCCAGCATGCTCGGAGGTGAGAAAAAAGGCTGGGCAAGGTACTGACGGTTTAAATACCACCAGAGGGAAACGAGCAAACCAAAAAACAAACAAAGGACAATTCCTCGAACAAAACAGACCAGGCAGTGATAGGGGGCGTCTTTTTCAAAAAAAAAAAAAAAAAAAAAAAAAAAAAAAAAAAAAAAAAAAAAAAAAAGAAAAAGAAAGAGAGAGAGAAAGAGAGAGAGAGAGAGAGAGAGAGAGAGAGAGAGAGAGAGAGAGAGAGAGAGAGAGGGTGGGTGGGGGGAAGGATTAGGTGTGGAGCCAGAATATGGACGTTTTGGTGGAGAGCAGAAAATCCTGATTTCTGCATCTCTCCGTGAAACACATCCAGACGCAGACGCCTAATCCATTCCGCTTTGTGGATGGGACCTGGTCCCTCTCTTTTTCTCTCTCTCTCCCAACACACGCGCATTGTGTGTACTGAAATAAACAGAACCCTGCGAACGCGGCAAGCAGAGTAACAGGGTATGCATACACGATTGCCTAAGAAGAAAGGCCGCAACACCTTTGCACAGAGCAATCCATACACCGGGTGAAATCAAAGCACCCATAATTGGGGTGAAAAGAGCCAGAAGGGTTTATGAGCAGCAATTCATTACGTAAAGTAGTCACAGAAAGGAAGTCAAGCAAGGCAGACAAAAGAACAAGCAGCAAAAAAGACACAGCGAAAAAAATAAAACTGATGATAGATTGTTTCGTCAGAGTTGCACCGACTCATCAGGAGGCTGAACGCTCGACAATCTGCGGAATCTCCGTATTGGATGGTTCGAGTCATGAACCCTTTGACCCATGTTGAAGGCAGACTGTCCCCGAGCGGAACATGGCAGCAGCCTGCGGAGCACCAGGCAACACAGTAGAGGCAACACGGCCACACAACGCCAAAAAATGACTGCAAGGAACGGCATGGCACGCAGGACATGCAGCGTGGCAACCGTGTAGTAAAGCACAAGGCAACACAAGCAAGGCAACCGCACTGCAAGGGACGACAGGGTGAGCGGACCAGCCGCTCAGCAACCGTGCAGCGAAGCACAAGGTACCAGCAACAAGGCAACCAACCTACAAGGCACACAAGCGGCAAACACGGAAGGCATGGCCAGCGGATGAGCGGCAAGACAGCAGGGCAGCGAAGCGCAAGGCAACACCAACAACATGGCCAAACCACGCAGCAAACACAGCAATTTGCAGAAAACCAAATGCAAAGCCAGCGGGACAAGAAGCAAGGCAGCGGCGGAGCGCAGACGAGGCAGTCCACACATCCAACACGGAGCAAAACGGCACATCTATGAAACACCCGCGGACGCATCCGCGGGGCCGAGCTCGGAGGGCGGACGTATTCACGGCCGCCTCCGCGGCCTACCGGGTCCGCGCCGCGGACCCGATTTTATCAGATTTTTCCTGAATTAAATAATAGGCAAACCTCCTGATGAGTCGGTGAAACTCCGACGAAACAGTTTGTCACAGCCCCTCGTTTGTTGTCCTCTTCTCCCTCTCTGCCTACGGTTTACCGGGCAGTTCTATTTGACGATATATGGGGTTGTAGGGAATTTTAAGCCCTACAACCCCTTTTTTTTTTTTTTGAAATCCGACTTTGTTTAGGATTTTTAAAAAATCAAAAACTAAATTCGATTGAAGGAAAATTAAAAATATATATATAAAGAAAAGCTGGAATTTTTTTTTGTCATTTTTTATCATCAGATATATGGTCCCTGAGTTCACCTGTATGTTTTAGAAATGAATTTCTGTTTTTTGCAGGGGTATGATGTGTTTTAGAAAAATAAAGATGCAAAATTTGAAAATAAATAAACAAAAAACTTGAAAAAAAAGGTTCGATTGATTGATTGATTGATTGATTGTGTGTGAGTGTGTGTGTGTGTGTGTATGTGTGTGTGTGTGTGTGTGTGTGTGTGTGTGTGTGTGTGTG